ATAGTTAATCAAATGGTGGATAAGATAAACCCAGAGGGCAAAGCTCCTGTGGTTCAGGTCCCTGACTGCCTGTGAGCAGAGGCTGGCCTGACATGCCTTGCAACAATGAGAAGTGCAAGACCTAGCAGCAAGCTTGGAAAGCACCTGACAAATTCCTCTTCCCCGCACTTCCGGGAGAGCAAGACACGAAAATATGAGTGAGATGGGCCGCGGAGGCGCGACAAAGGGCAAAAGAGAAAAGTAATGATAGGAAGTCAGGCAGCACCACTCAAGTGCGAGGGAGGTGGGAGGCTAAGACTTACCAGAGACCAAGATGAAGGGTAATTAACTTCCAATAAATCTCCGGGCTTGCTTGCCAAAGACTGATGCCAGACAGGCTAAATTAAAGGTCCAGGTTCTTGTTCTACCTGTCCAAAAGAATTTGGACAGGGAACGCAAAAAAAGTCACACAGACTGAGGTGTAGAGAGAAACAAAGAAGCAGTGTATTAAGGGGCAGAAGCAAACGCACTTGGAAAAGAACTCGGGCGTCCTCGCCAGTGAGGAGGGCATCTGAGGAGTTTTCTGACCACCCCCCCCCACCTTTTATGTCAATTCCTTGAATGGATGCAGGTTTCTTTGATTAGGGGCAGAATATTCATTGGTGGGATCTTAATTGCGCCTGGTTACATCCGCTTCTCTTGTGAGTCTGTCTCCTGAAGCCACTGCACATGTGCTCTAAGAGCCATTTTTCCCTTAGCAGTCAAGCGCCAGGTGTGGAAGGCTGTATAGCAGGCAGCTGCAGCCTGTGCATTTTTATTGCTCATGCTGGGCTGAGCTCTGTGGGTTTTCTGGGCAGGGTTCCCTGTTCAGGTGTCACAAAGTTTAATCAAGGTTTAATGTATGTTCTTGTTGCTGATGCCATTCCTCTATGCTTCATAATCTCATTAAGTGCAACACAAGGAGAGGTGGCTTTGCCTTTTGCCTAATGTCTGTGTATGAGGAGGCTGTCCTTGGGTTGGGCCCTGTCTTTCCTGCCTCACTTGGGGTTTGCTCCGTATATCGAGCAACATGCTAGGTGCTCGGTATACACAACTTCTGCCCTGCTTTGCAAATAAGATGTTCAGTCTTGTTGGAGAAGAGCATGCGTAGACAAATGAGTCCAGTGTAATGCGGTAAAGGCGGTTGAAAGCAAAAAAGGTGATGGGGTTGGGGCGGGTGTATCCTGCACAGGCACTTAATCCAGAATGAGAAGGGGGGGCAGAAGTATGGAAGATTTCCTGAAGGAGATGACATCTCAGTTCAGCCCTGAACGATGAGCAGAAGCTGAGAACAGCGAAGGGTGAGGAGTGTCCAAGCAGTTCATTGTTGCTAGAATATGAAGTGGGTCAGCATGAGTGTTAGGCAAGACTGAAGTGCATTTTAGGCACTGTAGGTGATAGGGAGCTTTTGAAGAGCTCTTAAGCAGATATTATCATATCTGCAAGCTTAATGGTTGGGAGAGAATGAATTTGAGGATTGTCATGTGGTGTGTGCAGATTTGTGACAGAATTGCATAGGGGAGCTGAGGCTGAAGGCAGAAACTAAGATTGTGATCATGGAAACAGAGCACGGGAGACAGAAGGTAAATTTGGTGGTTGCTTGGATATGGGCTGTGAGGGGGGAGTGTAAAATTCGCTTGTTGGGGAACTACTTTGATGGATGGTGGTGTCATTTACTGATGAGAAATGGGTCTGGGGAAAGGGAGTGTTGACGCATTCAGTTTCCTGTAGATGGAGAAGTCTAGCAGGCTAGCAGGAGATATATATGAGATCAGAAGTGAGATACAATTTGGGGAGTTGTCCGTACAGATAGTTGCTAAAACCGTGAGTGGGGTTGAGGTCACCCTGGAGAGACACAAACACTTGGGAAATGGTAACATGTATATGGTAGGTGGAAGACTGTGAATTTAGTAGAAGGACTGATCAGACAAGGAAGACTGGTGCTCAGAAATCAAGGCAGTAGTTTGGAAATGGGATTCTCTCAATGCCAGGTCCAAGGGAGGTGTCTAGTGAGATAAGGATTGAGTAGTATCAACTGGACTGAGCAATATGTGAGTCTATTCTTAGTAAAATAGCCTCTGTGGATGGCCTGGCTGGAAGCCATATTGCAGAGGATTTTAAATGAATGGAAGATAAAAATGAAGACTTTTCTAGAGACTAATAAATGATTGGAAGCGAGAGGGACATCTGGGCAAAGGGAGGTTCTTGAGGGGAATATCTGGGGGGAGGTATTGACTGTGTAGAGAGCAGGCTTCATTTTGTGTTTTTCCTGTTCCTTTAGGATTTCCGCGTGGATGTGGTGCACATGGATGAAAACTCATTGGAGTTTGACATGGTGGGAATCGACGCAGCCATTGCCAATGCTTTTCGACGCATTCTATTAGCTGAGGTATAGGTGGGCACGATGGCAAAGGTGGAGTTGTGTGGGGAATCCTCATTTGTAGAATTGTCTCAAGTGGTATTTTTCCTGCAGTTTTGCTGAGCGTTCCTCCTGCTCATTCTTTGTAAACTTTTCATCAAGCGTTCTTCTAGGAGGAAGCCTCCATCTCCCTATGTCAGGAGGCAGGGAGTAGATGGGGAATCTACGGGGTCTTTGTAGATGAGTGGCTTTCTTTTCTTGGGCAGGTGCCAACCATGGCTGTGGAGAAGGTCCTGGTGTACAACAACACTTCCATTGTCCAGGATGAGATACTCGCTCACCGCTTGGGGCTCATCCCCATTCATGCTGATCCCCGCCTTTTTGAATATCGGAACCAAGGTGAGGGTTTGAGAAAATGAAATTTTGGGGGAAGGTGGGCAGCTCTCCTCTGAAGTTGATTCTGGAATCAGACTGCCTGTGTTCGAACCCTTGATTGGCTACTGTATGACCTTGGGCCCGGTACCAATCTTTCGGTACATCAGTGCTGTTGTCTGTGAGGACACCTGCCCTTGCCTTACCAGGGTTGCCAAGAGGATGAGAGAAACATGCAAGGCATTCAGCGTAGTGCCTGGCACCGACGTCCACTAGCTCTTTAACAGTCCCCACCTCCTCCCTTTGTGTAGGAGATGAAGAAGGCACAGAGATAGATACCCTGCAGTTTCGGCTGCAGGTCAGGTGCACTCGGAACCCCCACGCCGCTAAAGATTCCTCTGACCCCAATGAGCTCTATGTCAACCACAAAGGTAGGTACCGGTGGGGTGAGGAAGAGGGCCCCCTGTTGGTGGGTGCCAGTTTTAGGGACTTTGGTCTGATGTGCTTCCTCCCGCAGTGTATACCAGGCACATGACATGGGTCCCCCTGGGGAACCAGGCTGACCTCTTCCCGGAGGGCACCATCCGACCGGTACACGATGATATCCTCATCGCTCAGCTGCGGCCTGGCCAGGAGATTGACCTGCTCATGCACTGCGTCAAGGGCATTGGTGAGACCCTTTGATTACCCTGGGGTGAGGTATGACTAAGGGACTCGGCTGAGATGTCCCCGACAGGCAGAGCGCCAATGGCCTTTGATGTCCGGAGCTTAGGGAATGTGAGGAAGGGTCTCCTCCCAGGCTCTGAGTTCCCTCTTCCCTCCAGGCAAAGATCATGCCAAGTTTTCACCTGTGGCAACAGCCAGTTACCGGCTCCTGCCGGACATCACCCTGCTTGAGCCCGTGGAAGGGGATGCGGCTGAGGAGCTGAGCCGGTGCTTCTCACCTGGTGTTATTGAGGTGCAAGAAATCCAAGGTATGGGATTTGGGATGCCAGGCCCTGAAGTATACTTTCTTTGAAGGTAGCAGAGAAATAAAAGCTCTGGGCTCATGTATTTATAATATGGTTTGTTTTCATTAGGTAAAAAGGTGGCCAGAGTTGCCAATCCCCGGCTAGATACCTTCAGCAGGGAAGTCTTCCGGAATGAGAAGCTAAAGAAGGTTGTACGGCTTGCTCGTGTTCGGAACCATTACATCTGTGAGTTTCAAGTTGGAGGGTGGGGTGGGGGTGGAGTTCTTTGGTGCTGCAGCTTCCTTGCAGAGTTCAGATGTGGAATCTAGCAATACATATAAGGAGCTTTTGTAAGCCCTGCCTGGGCTAAAGTGTCCCTTTGGTCCCCAGTCTCTGTGGAGTCAACAGGGGTGTTGCCACCAGACGTGCTGGTGAGTGAAGCCATCAAGGTACTGATGGGGAAGTGCCGGCGGTTCTTGGATGAACTGGATGCGGTTCAGATGGATTGAGGCTGCGCTGGACCTGGCATGGCTGGGACTGGATGCTCCTGAGGCAAGCTGAAGATTTTAGGTTCTGACCTGCCCTCACAGGACTGCTGTAGAGAGCCCAGAGACTAGGGGTCCTGAGTTTTCTGGGGACAATTCCAGCTTTATTTTCAGTCAATACACTTCGTTAAATGTGCCACAAAATGTGACTTTTATGCCTTTGTAAGGTCTTAATGTAAATAAATTCACATCCAGACAAAAATCCTTTCGTTGGAGACCACTTTTTCAGTTTTCGTCCAAAAATATGGGGCACCTCAGAAGAGATCTGGCGTTATTTAGCAGTTAAGAGCATTGGGCTCAGACATCACTGCAAGTCAGGGCCAAGTCCCTCTGAAGCCCCTTGAGAAATGCCAAGTGTGATGGTTTCTGGGGGCACAGCCAGACCACAGGAAAACACCGTGTGCTGCTTAACCCATTTCCTAGATACCAGAGGAAGTTCCTGAGAGAAAAAAGGGTGGTCCATGGCAGTCAAGTCACATCAAGAGCCACACAAGGAAGACTAACAGTCCCCTTGGGCAGCCCCTCTGGGTTAGGTCCAGTGGCCACCAATGACGACACTGAGAGAACGGAAGGGCCGCCTGGTCTATGTGTCAGGAATAGAAAGCTGCTTCTGGCTGGCATGCTATTTCAGAGGGTTTGACAGAGCAGGGCTGTCAGTCACAGTTCTTCCTGTCCAGCCCCCTTAGCAAGCAAGATGCTCACGAGGAACAGTGACCCTGGAGTACGTTACTAGTTTGAAAAAGGGAGATGGGGCCCTTTCTATATGAAATTGAGATTTTTACTGACATGCAGATGTGCTTTAGAGTTAATGTTTCTACAAAAAGGTTCTATAAACAATAGAAAACTTCTAACATGAAGTCACAGGATGTTAAAAATATTACAACACAATAAATACAACTATACCCTCCACAGCCCCACCGCAGAGAAGAGTAGGCAGCTAACAAGTTTGGAGGGAAACATGCTGAGATGGCCTTCACAGTGGACAAGAAGCCCAAAGCACCACCCAGGAAGAGGGGATGGACCAAGTCTGTGCCATAGAAAGCGCAATGTGGGACTCCCAAGTCCGTTTCCCCAGCTTTGCCTCTTCCTGACCTTACCCTACCTGGGGGGGCCACACCAGCTAAAAGCTGCAGCTTCAGCATCGCCAAAACCCTGGTCAGGGGACTGGATCAATGCCAGGCCTCTGTGGGGAACACATGGACACACACTCTAAATGTGTGTCCTTCTGTATAGATTAACTAGTCGTGCATCCACGTCCCCTGTGCTTATAGGGCCGTCCAGTGATGTTCAGAACAGACTGGAGACTCACAGGTTGTGATGGGAAGGCATATTTTTTTCTTTTGGAAATGGCCCATGAGGGAAGTGCCCAGGGACCTGAAAGACCACGAGATTTTTGAAGGCACCTGGACTGAGCTAGTCCTAGGAGAGACCAGTGGCTTTGCCAGCTGCTTGTCACAGATGTAGCCTAGTTGGTCTGGGTTATCCTTAAATGCCAATGACATCATGTGACACTAGATAGGGTACTGTGGCTCTTGTGCCTGAGTGGACCCTGGGGACTGGGGAAACCACACTGAGGGGTCATTCATGGAGGGACAAAATGTGTGAGCTCTAAGGGATGTTACAGAGCGCTACAGACCCTGGCCCAGCCCTGGTCCCTGAAGGTACTAACATTTGATACTGTGCCCAGAGCTTAGCAGTGGCCTGTACCGTGGATCCCATCAGGTGACCAGATTCTTGCTCAAAACAAAGCAGGAACTGGCCAAATTCAGTTCAGCACTCAGCACCTGACCCAGATATGCCCCTGGGGGATGGGGAAGGTCCCTGTCAGCCCAGCAGCAAGGGGGCTCAGTGGGACTTTCAACGATCCAGGAGAAACTCTGGCACAAGTAGTTCAGGGCTGAGCCCCCGCCGCAAGCCTGGCTTGTGGCAGCATTGGGTATAGCGCCCCTAGTTACCACTCTGCACAGGTGTATGGCTGCCTGGGGGCGGGAGGGCCTGGGGAGAAGGGCCGCTCTGCTCTAGCTTTTCTCTCTTGGAAAAGGCAAAGCTCCAAGCAGGATGGGAGATGCCTGGGTAACCTAGACAGAACGGTGAAGCCCTAACTCCCATTCTTCATGCTTTAGCGTGGCTTCCGGCCCTGTACAGGGCCCACTCTCTCCAGCTCCAGACCTGGATCTCTCTCCAGGCTGACGACGGTGTAAAGTGAGGTGGCAGTGGAGAGGGGCCTAGAGAATAGCTACAAAGGGGAAGAAGAGATGACAATAAAGGTCGAGGAAGAATGCCCAAAAGCTTGACTCAGGGTTCAAAGATGGCGGCCAGGCTTCCCTCCTCATTGTCCAGCACCTCCGCTTCCAGCATTGGCTTTGTCTTTTTGAAAAGTGAGGGGAGATTCTTAATGTGAACTTCTTTTCGGAACTGCTCGCCCAAGGGTTTCTGTGGAAGACAAACGAGAAAGAACTAATGCTGGGTCTCGAGTGGTGGGTTGTTTTAAAGATCATCTCACCATAATGGTCGTGGCTACAGCTGGTTTCTGGTTTGCCTGTACACATGGCCCAAGAAGACTGCAAAGGTGGTTGGGAGCACTAAGGAAAGGGTGTGAAGGGTGAGACCTACCCCAATGCACCCAGCAATGAGGCGTTTGAATTGGTCCTTCCGGCGCTTGTCAGCCACTTTCTGCAGAGAGGGGTTCAAAAGCTTGCAATCAAACTGGTCCAGTGAGTCCTTCTGAATTTCAGGGATCTGCTCCATCACAGCTCTTATCTCCAGGTACCTGGGACGCTGAGAAGTAGGGGTAAACCCACTCAATGGCACAGTTTTGGGCCCCGTCACCTTCCCTATCCCTTGCCACACCCACTCAGGGGCAGCACTAGCAACTTGGCAGCTGCCTACGTTTAGGATTAAGGCCCAAGTGACCAGGAGCAGGCAGGCTGTGAGGGATGAAGCCGCAGCCATCCTGCCCCCAGGCTTTCTCCACTCACCAGCGCCTCATATATCTGGAAGGCCAGGTGGACCAGGGAAGCCATGCAGCCATCGTGCTGCCCATGCGTCTGTAAGCCCTTCAGCACACTGGTGAACAGCCATGTAACAGCGTCTGCGAGCAGTGTCCCTGACAGCACCTGGGGAGACAGCTGTGCTCAGGGCCAAAGCGGGACTCTGAAGGCCTCAGCACCCTAGTTCTTCCAACTGATTCAGTCAATCCCTCATGACCCAAACGTTTCATGAGGGGAGAGGAGAAAGGGTGAGTAACCATACTTGTTTGAGGAGAGGCCAGCAGAGCTGTGTGGTCGTCCTCTGGCACGACAGAGTATCCTTCCAGGCCAGGGAATTGAAGGCTGTAATTAACAGCGCTGTACAAACATCCTAACAGAAAAGGATGGAGAATTACAATGGGAAAACAAGTACAATGTTCTCTGAATTCTGATGCATCAGGAGCTAGAGTTTTAATAGGTAAGCAGGAAAATGATAAACGCAGCTACTGAAGAGATGGGAGTTTGTTTCCTCTATGTCTATCAGGCCATCCAAAAAAGAAAAACTAACCAATACAGAAGAGAAAACCTACGTGCAGGAAAGAGAGCTCAGGCCTGGGGGAGGCTGAACACCAGGGACTGGTGGCAATGTGCCTGGGTGTTTTTCTGAGCCTTTGCCCATGCCAGCATGGGAACACAGTGGCCTTGTGCCTTTCCCACTGTTTTCTTTAAATCATATAAAGGCGTATTACCAAAAAACCCTCCTGATGGCATCAGAAAATGAGAAAAGTGGAAGCGAGCTCCCTGGCTGGGCAAGGAAAAAAATCTCGCCTGCCCCTCCACCCACCTCATGCTTCATTAGACATTTTCCCAGGTCTGTAAGCTCTGCCATGGCCGAGGGGGTTACCTCTGTGGCCATCATCTCTTCATCTGTAAGTAGAGACCAAAATGTTAAGCTCCATCCTTTCAGAACAGAGACCGTCCTTTCTGACAGAAGCCCACAGAGTAAAGGAGAGGTGAGTATCCTGGGCTGACTGGTAGTTAAAGGTACTAGGACAGCCCCCCAGCCTCATAAGAGGGTGTAGAAGCCTCTGCCCATGGCAGATCTAGAGATGCATCTAGCCATACGTTTGCAAAACAAGGAATTTTTCTGGACAGTTACCTAAAAAGCTGCAAATGCTGAGGATCTTTTGTCGTTAAACAAATATTTGAGGACCCACGACAGCAGTTACTGGGGATATAAGAGGAATACGACAAAGTCCCTTCCCTGCTAGGAGTTAAATTCTAGTGAGGGAGAGAAGTAATTAATAACACAAATAAAACACGTCAGGTAGTGATCAGTGCTGGAAGACAGAGCAGAGGAAGAACCCAGAGGCCGGTGTTGCTATTTTTGATAAGCTGGTCATGGAAGACCTCTCAGAAGTGACATCTGAGCAGAGACCTGAATAAAAAGCAAGGGGATGGGCCAGGTATATAGCGGGGAGAACAATCATTCTAGGTAGAGGAATCACCAAGCGCAGAGGCTCTGAGGAGGGACTGCTGGGGAATACAGCAAGGGGGCCAGCATGGACGAAAGCTAGGCGTACAAAGTCTCCTCCACACCAGACTGCTAGGGACACAGTTTCTATGGGAACTGACCTGGTTACAGAAGTAACAATATTTAGGAGCTTAATGGCTGACCTCCAAGGGCCGCAACAGGCTCACTTACCGTCTCCATCCGCAGGGGGAGCAGTACCATGGTCAGCACCTTTCTTCGAAACACAGCACACAGCTAAAGCAAGAAAGCAGGGTTACCAGGCTTATCACCACCGGACGACAGCCGTCTCAGGCCAGTGGATCCCAAACTGTCTCTGGGCAGGTGAGGAGTGGGGGAAGGTGGGATACCATCCAGGCACAAGGTCAGCTTCACCAACAGAAATAGAGGCATTTGACCAGACTGTGTTCTGGTCCCTCTTCAAGTTCAGTCAACTGGCGGGAAATTACAGAATTATCTGAGAGTAAATGACCAGGAGAGGATGCCTGATATGTATACTTGGTCTACTTTGGATCTCAAACAAATGAACTGACCAAAAAATAAAAATGAAATATAACCACCTTCATGTCTAAGAATTAAAAAATTTCCCTATTTTGACAAAGCTAGAAGTTATTCCTACCATTAATCCAACTTCCTCCTGCTATTTTAAACCATTTCCTCATAATCTGCCCTTAGTATGAACAACTACAATGCGGTTCACAATTCATAAAGCGTCCTTAAATTGACTTAAGAATTACACAGTTTCTATTCAGTTAATTATTTCTTATCAATCTGTCAGTGTTGCTGCAAACATGTTAGGTGAGTGACCAGCTTTTTTTCCAGAAAAAGGCTTGTCTTCTACCCCTGGTTCCCACGCCACTTACTGATCAGGTCCATGACTTCTCGGGTTAACATCCTCACCAGTTGTTCCTCCAGCATCTCTTGAGACTCTGGGTTTTCATCTGTTGTCTCATCTTCTCCACTGCAGAGAACCAGGGGCCAAGTTCCATGGGAATGCAAAAGCAGCAGTGACCCTAGCTAGACCTTCTGTGCCCACTTCCTTCTCCTGACTTCCTCTGGTCTACATTCCACTCAAAAGTTAGGAATGGGCAGCAGTGATCCACTGAGGGGCATTATTACTTGTGACTGTACCCAGTTGGCTTGAGGGGAATGGATCAAAATCCTAAGAATGTCTCAGCATTCACCTAAGGCAGCTGAAGGTACCCCCTATGAAGGCTTGAGCTGAGTCTGCCTAATGGTCACAGAAAAGCGATCTACCATCTGGGCTGAGGATGACTATAACCCACTGCTGTTCTAGCCCTGGGATGGCAGAGTCCTTCCTCCATGTCTACCTTCTCCCACCCCAAGCCTGGCTGCCAGCTCATCCGTCACGGAGAAGAGAAGGTCCCTTACCACAGCAGGCTCCTCTGGTTGATGACTTGCCATTTTTGGGAAAGCCTCTGGGAAAACAAAAAAAGAAATCAGTGCTACACTAGGGAGAAAAGATAATATCTAAGGGCCACTTCATGGTTAGAATTAGCTGAAGATGAGTCCAGGTAACAATGACAGGGCCTTGGGAGACCCCACAAGGTTAAAAAACCAGATACAGTTTCTGTAACCTCTCCCACACCCACGACAAGGGCAGCATATCAAACACTTCTTTGCTTGGAAAGGATCAATGACATTTCAGAACTCCTGAGTCTCTCTGGACACACCTATTCTCTGCCCAGCTGGTCTCCCTGCTTAATTCCAGAGTCAGGGAAACAGACCCAGGAAGAGCACTCCCCTGATCACCTCTCCTCAGTTAACAGGAGGACAGGAGTAGAATCTGAGTCTGCAGGTGCTTTGCAGGCAATGGAACCAGTTTAGTTCTTCAGAGGGGCTGCTCTACCCTGGGCAGCAAGGGTGGAGCGGCTGTGCAGCCAGCCTGGCAGGGCCAGGAGACGATGCTTTCAGGAGCTCTTGACTTGTGAGACTCACGAGAGGCCACCCACTCTAAGAGGCCTCTTTGCCACCCCTTCCTGGCCAATCTCTTACCATGTGAAGGTAGGTGAAAAGAGGTCCAAGGATGGGAGACACCAGGGCTTCGTAGTGCTCCGGGGGACAGAAGAGCACCAGAGGCTTCACAAAGACCCATGCCGCGGCAGGTTAAGAAGCTTTAGCACACGAGCGCACACCCGTCGTTCTAAGGCACCACTCCCCTGCCAGGCTGGAACTGTGATAAACTCTCCTTACAATATAACTCGCAGGGAAGAACCATACTCCCCCAAACAAAAACAAAGAGTCTGAATGAACATGCAGCATGAGAGTGCTTCTTCCAAGAGAAGCACCTGACAAAGTACAGAAAAGGGATAAAAGCTTCATTTCTCATCTTTCCAAGAAATGGGATGGTAAGAATTTCCCCTAAGGAGAAAGAGCTTTCAACACCCCCTGGACTGCTTTCAGGTTTTTCCTTTTATTTACTTCAATCTTCTTGTCCTTCTAATGTGGCTACTATATACTGTCAGAAATGTTTCCATCTATTTCATATAGCTCAGCTCTGCCTCCTCTGGTGCTTCTGAACTATTCCTGTCTTCAATCTTCTGGCCCTTTGGGTTATCTAGGGAGTTTTTTTTTTTTTTTTTTTTTTTACGGTATGCGGGCCTCTCACTGTTTTGGCCTCTCCTGTTGCGGAGCATAGACTCCAGGTGCGCAGGCTCAGTGGCCATGGCTCATGGGCCCAGCCACCCCGCGGCATGTGGGATCTTCCTGGACCGGGGCACGAACCCGTGTCCCCTGCATCGGCAGGCGGACTCTCAACCACTGCGCCACCAGGGAAGCCCATCTAGGGAGTTTTGAAAGGATATGAAGCATGGGTCTGAGTCGGTAGTCAGGAATATTGTTCAAGTTGACGAAGGCAGAGCTGAGGAGCTGGGTGGCCAGGTGCTCCACGGTGTAGAAGTCCTGCTGCATGGAAGGGCCTGCCTTCCCTAGGATATGGAAACTGCAAGGGAAAATCATGAACAACATCAAATCCATTATCTGTTATCGCCAGCCCTGACTGCCTTGGGAATTTCTAGTCTACAAGAAGACTTCTCAGCTAGAAAAGTAATTAATTGTACTTTCTTTTTAAGAGGACTTTAGCTTAATCAGTATACTTTGAAGATGTGGACTTAATCTTCTTTCAGAAGGGAAAATAACAGCCACCCCCCCACCCCGCCCCAACGTTTAAGGAAACATCTTGAAACCAGATTCAGCATCTTTTAAAAGACAGATGTCGGTACCCAAGATCAACAGTAGCCTTTCATTACTTTGTAAGTAATATGGATTTACGATGGAGAATCTTTTGTTAGTTGGCTGACTAGAGCACTGTGTTAGCGAGATCAGCGCCCTGGGGAAGATGGTGTACAGAAGGGCCAGTTACACCCCCCACGCCACAACCAGGACCCCAAGACAAAATATGGCCAGCTATCTCCCAGTGCCCATGAATAGTGGGCTATGAGAGTGAGGGGTCTGAGAAAATGCATCCCCATCACTGTAACTTCTACTTTGGTCTCATCACTTTATGCACTGGAAACAGACAAGTTGGGCGTTAAAATATCAAGTCATGGCTAGGACTTAAAGGCACATGTGACAATTAAAATAAAAATTGCAGGAAACCAGCCTGTTCATTTTGATTTGACACTAGAATCATTAGTTTCCTGTCAAATTCTTTCCTCACATTACCTGTACACTAGAATTCTAGATCAGATGTCTAATCCAAGGCCATCCTATACAATGCATGTCTAGGAGGAGAATATGAAAAGGCAGCATTGGTTCCTTACCAGTTTTCATAGAGGGTGCAGAAGAAACGCTGCATTCTTTCTAAGACCGTTTTGTAGACAGGAGAGTCATTCAGTTCCAAGAGAGGCTGAGGTAATCCTACAGACAAAGATGGATCAGGAACCTGCTGCTCCCCTGCTGAGGGTCTCAACCTGCCAACACCCTCCCGTAGGCAGAGGTGGTTTGGGGGGCGGGGGGGGGGCGGGGTGCTATAAATGCAAAGCAGCTGACCAAGTCTTCTACCAGCTGGAAGTGCTAACAGCTTCCCTAAAGTGACTGCCACACTGTACTTGCAGGGAAAGGTGAAAGCTATTTAAGTGTCCAGGTTTGAGTACTCTAACTTTTGCCTGGGTTTCTCCAGATGGAACTTGTACCAAAACACACAATGACAGCCCAAAATGATCTCTCCATAAAGTACTGGGAATGTCCCCCCCTTCCTTTGAAAGTCACAGAACCTCTTTTTCAAGCAAAATTTTATGCAAAAGCCCAAGGTGTATAGCAGATAAAAATGAAACCCACTTATCTCAGTATAACAATTGCCTTAAAAGATCTATACTTCTAATCAGAGGCAATTTTGTTTCCAATCTTGCTCCTGGTCGGAAGCTGCCAGAAGGAACTGTTTGTCCATTCTAGTATATTTTGGTTGGTCATACATTTCTATAGCAGCAGTTCCTGGCTTAATACGAATAACTGAAGGGGGGCAGGAGGGTAACAGGTGGTGAAGCAACACCTAATTTTTATATTAATAACAAGACATTTTTTGGACGTTTCATTTTTACTGGTGTCTCCAAAAGGGAGCTTAAGTGTAGTGGTGCCAAAGGAAATGGCCCAGGACCATTTAGGCCAAGAGAGATGGCCACGGGCCCTGGAAAGACAAGCTAACAGTCTTCTTTTCATTAAGTCATAGCTGAGGCATGCTCACTAGATTGCTTAACCATGGCCAGGCCCAGGCAGAGGTGATAGCCGGGGCAAAACCACACTGTCAGGGTTGTGATGGTAAGCCAGCCTGAAGCTCCAGAGATAGGCACAAGGTTTAGACATCTCTGGTGTCTCTAGCTCTAACTTCTTCTTCTTTTTTTTTTTTTTTTTAATAAATTTATTTACTTATTTATTTTTTATTTTTGGCTGCGCTGGGTCTTCGTTGCTGCGCGCGGGCTTTCTCTAGTTGCAGTGAGCGGGTGCTGCTCTTTGTGGTGCGCGGGCTTCTTGTTGCTGTGGCTTCTCTTGTTGTAGAGCACAGGCTCTAGGTGTGCAGGCTTCAGTTGTTGTGGCACGCAGCCTCAGTAGTTGTGCTGTGCAGGCTCAGTAGTTGTGGTGCATGGGCTTCGTTGCTCTGCGGCATGTGGGATCTTCCCAGACCAGGGCTCGAACCTGTGTCCCCTGCATTGGCAGGCGGATTCTTAACCGCTGCACCACCAGGGAAGTCCTCTAGCTCTAACTTCTAACCAACTGCCTTGCCCTCTGTGTTCCAGCCACACAAGTCACCTTCCTATTCCCTGGACATATCAAGCTCTTTGCTGCATGCCTCGGAATCTTGCACCTGCCATTCTGTCTGCCTAGAATGCTCAGCATCTCCTTTTGCCCCCAGCCTGGCCGGTCCCTGTTCATCCTTCAAGTCTCCACTGGGAGGCAGTCTTGTGACTCCACTCCAAGACTGGGTCAGGTCTCCCAATAAACATTCCCACAGTCACTTGCCTTCACAGCACGTATCACAGTTATGATCGTGAAGTTATTTGCTAATGGGAGAAATGAGTTAAAGCAACATTCTGATCAAGGTAAAAACTGGGAAACTTGGCTCAGAAACTATTCCTTAAAAAAGTGATAACATACATAATATTTTACTGATTAAACCTATTTAAGCTTAATTGTTTGAATACTTTCCCCCCCATACACAAAAGGCAGGAAAGTACGCTAATATCCTTCGGGTCAAAAAGCATGGTTTATTTATAATCTAAAGGCTCTAACACATACTACCAGCTGGCAGCTGAAGTGAAGGAGTGGGTTAACATGGGGTGTGTGTGCTTCTGAAGACCTTCTCTGCATGATAAGATAATGAAGTAAACAAACTTGTTCCTAGAGAGCCTGTAGGAACTCCATACATGCATTTCTGAACAAACAGGTGGTCAAGGTCGTGCCAGGTGAGGAGAAGGTGACACAAGGCACACTGAAGCTGCATTAGAGGTAAGGTATAGAAATATAAAGGCATACAAAGGTATAGAAAACTTCAAGAAAAAAAAAAGGTTACATTTCTTACCTAAAATAGCAGATTTTTCCACTTCAAGCATATCTAGAACCCTCGTAAAAGGTTCTGCCATTTTGGCTAGCATTTCTGGTGCATATAAAGTATTGTGAGTTCTGAAAAAAATAGGAATGCTATGTGAACTTTTCTTAGTCTGCTGGAGAAGGAAAGAGTGGGTTTCCATCTTGTAATTCAGTGATACTACATTTCCACATAGATACCTCTCTGTCAACACTACTCTTGGCAGGGGAATTTAAACGTTTCCCTGGAGGAGGGGATAGACTTGATGCTATTAAGTTTATTTGTACAGTATACAACACCTAATAGCAATCAACCACAAGAACTGAATTCTGAGAGAGCCGGACAACATCACAGTCTAAAGCTGGAAAGCAAAATTCTTTCAAACCTGAGACAATGCCAAGGCACTCCCAGTTTTCTGACTGCCCGTGATAGAGGATGAAATGTCAGAGGCATCATGGTTCACAGGCAGGAACACAGAGCAGGTAGTAACATGCCCCCATTTTTAGGATGTTTTGTCTCTGAATCAAGAGCATGGACCCAACAATGCTCTGGCAGCTGTTTAGTCTCCTAGAGGCACATTTGCAATTCCCAGCATGAGCACCTCTTCCCCACCAAAATGACTTACCTTTGTAAGACTACAGACCTGATCTACCTGCCTTCCACAGCAATGGCACCACGGAACAATCTATAGCCAGAGGGCATAACTACCTATTTCTCTTTTAAAAGTTAACTATAAAACATTTCAAATGTATAGAAAATTACAGAACATGGACCAGCAAGATTAAATATTTAAGATGAACAATGAAAAGATCATTTTAGACCATGCTTATTTTTTAAAAACCCTCAATAATGTTTTTTAAGTCTAACCATGTGCATTCATTAGTACCCACGTTTAAGCTGCCTTTTTATGACTGGCTTATTCCACTTAGCATAGTCAGGGTTCACCCATGTTGTAGTATGTTGCAGAAATTCCTTCCTTTTTAAGGCTGAATGATATTCCACGGTTTGTATAGACCACATTTTGCTTATCCATTCATCCACTGATGGACACTGGTTGCTTCCACGTTTTAGCTATTGTGAGTAATGCTGCCATGAACACAGGTGTATAAATACCTCTTTAAGACCCACTTTCAATTCTTTTGAGTATGTACCTCAAGCTGGACTTGCTGCTTAACATGGCAATTCTACTTTTAATTTTTAAATTTATTTTTATGCTCTTGGCCGTGCTGCACGGCGTGCAGGATCTTAGCTCCTCAACCAGGGATAGAATCCGGGCCCCCTGCAGTGGAAGCACGGAGTCCTAACCACTGGACCACCAGGGAATTCCCACTATTTTTAATTTTTTGAGGAACCGCCAAACTGTTTTCCAGAGTGGCTGTACCATTTTACATTCCTACCAACAGTGTACCAGAGTTCCAATTTCTCCACACCCTTGCTAACACCTATTACTTTCTTTTTTCAACATTTTTTTAATGTATAATATCTTTTTTTAACATCTTTATTGGAGTATAACTGCTTTACAATATTGTGTTAGTTTCTGTTGTATAACAAAGTGAATCAGTTATACATATACATACATCCCCATAACTCCTCCCTCTTGCGTCTCCCTCCCACCCTCCCTATCCCACCCCTCTAGGTGGACACAAAGCACCGAGCTGATCTCCCTGTGCTATGTGGCTGCTTCCCACTAGCTATCTATCTATTTTACATTTGGTAGTGTATATATGTCCATGCCACTCTCTCACTTAATCCCAGCTTACCCTTTCCCTTCCCCATGTCCTCAAGTCCATTCTCTACCTCTGTGTCTTTATTCCTGTCCTGCCCCTAGGTTCATCAGAACCACTTTTTTTTTTTTTTTTAGATTCCATATATATGTGTTAGCATATGGTATTTGTTTTTCTCTTTCTGACTTACTTCACTCTGTATGACAGACTCTAGGTCCATCCACCTCACTACAAGTAACTCCATTTCATTTTATGGCTGAGTAATATTCCATTGTATATTCGTGCCACATCTTCTTTATCCATTCATCTGTCGATGGACATTTAGGTTGCTTCCATGTCTTGGCTATTGTAAATAGAGCTGCAATGAACATTGTGGTACATGACTCTTTTTGAATTACGGTTTTCTCAGGGTATATGCCCAGTAGTGGGATTGCTGGGTCATACGGTAGTTCTATTTTTAGGTTTTTAAGGAACCTCCATACTGTTCTCCATAGTGGGTGTATCAATTTACATTCCCACCAGCAGTGCAAGAGGGTTCCCTTTTCTCCACACCCTCTCCAGCATTTATTGTTTGTAGATTTTTTGATGATGGCCATTCTGACTGGTGTGAGGTGATACCTCATTGTAGTTTTGATTTGCATTTCTCTAATGATTAGTAATGTTGACCATCCTTTCATGTGTTTGTTGGCAATCTGTATATCTTCTTTGGAGAAATGTCTTATTTAGGTCTTCTGCCCATTTTTGGATTCTTTGTTTTTTTGATATTAAGCTGCATGACTTGCCTGTATATTTTGGAGATTAATCCTTTGTCAGTTGCTTTGTTTGAAAATACTTTCTCCCATTCTGAGGGTTGTCTTTTTGTCTCATTTATGGTTTCCTTTGCTGTGCAAAAGCTTTTAGATTTCATTAGGTCCCACTTGTTTATTTTTGTTTTTATTTCCATTTCTCTAGGAGGTGGGTCAAAAAGGATCTTGCTGTGATGTATGTCACAGAGTGTTCTGCCTATGTTTTCCTCTAAGAGTTTTATAGTGTCTAGCCTTACATTTAGGTCTTTAATCCATTTGAGTTTATTTTTGTGTATGGTGTTAGGGAGTGTTCTAATTTCATTCTTTTACATGTAGCTGTCCAGTTTTCCCAGCACCACTTATTGAAGAGGCTGTCTTTTCTCCATTGTATATTCTTGCCTCCTTTATCAAAGATAAGGTGACCATATGTGTGTGGGTTTATCTCTGGGCTTTCTATCCTGTTCCATTGATCTAATTTCTGTTTTGTGTCAGTACCATACTGTCTTGATTACTGTAGCTTTGTAGTATAGTTTGAAGGCAGGGAGACTGATTCCTCCAGCTCCGTTTTTCTTTCTCAAGATTGCTATGGCTATTCGGGGTCTTTTGTGTTTCCATACAAATTGTGAAATTTTTTATTCTAGTTCTGTGAAAAATGCCATTGGTAGTTTGATAGGGATTGCATTGAATCTGTAGATTGCTTTGGGTACTACAGTCATTTTCACAATGTTGATTCTTCCAATCCAAGAACATGGTACATCTCTCCATCTGTCTGTATCATCTTTAATTTCTTTCACCAGTGTCTTATAGTTTTCTGCATACAGGTCTTTTGTCTCCTTAGGTAGGTTTATTCCTAGGTATTTTATTCTTTTTGTTGCAATGGTAAATGGGAGTGTTTCCTTAATTTCTCCTTCAGATTTTTCATCATTAGTGTACAGGAATGCAAGAGATTTCTGTGCATTAATTTTATACCCTGCTACTTCACCCAATCCATTGATTAGCTCTAGTAGTTTTCTGGTAGCATCTTTGGGATTCTCTATGTGTAGTATCATGTCAAATGCAAACAGTGACAGTTTTACTTCTTCTTTTCCGATTTGGATTCCTTTCTTTTTCTTCTCTGATTGCTGGGGCTCAGCAAAGTCTATTTTGAAACTAACACAATATTGTAACTATTTTGAAACCAACACAATATTGTAAATAGACCACAAAGTCTATTTTGTCTGATACGAGAATTGCTACTCCAGCTTTCTATTGATTTCAGTTTGCATGGAGTTATCTTTTTCCATCCCCTCACTTTCAGTCTGTATGTGTCCCTAGGTCTGAAGTGGGTCTCTCGTAGACAGCATATATACAGGTCTTGTTTTTGTATCCATTCAGCCAGTCTATGTCTTTTGGTTGGAGCATTTAATCCATTTACATTTAAGGCAGTTATCGATATGTGTGTTCCTATTACCATTTTCTTAATTGTTTTGGGTTTGTTATTGATGGTGTCTTCCTTCTCTTGTGTTTCTTGCCTAGAGAAGTTCCTTTAGCATTTGTTGTAAAGCTGGTTTGGTGGTGCTGAATTCTCTTAGCTTTTGCTTGTCTGTAAAGGTTTTAATTTCTCCGTCGAATCTCAATGAGATCCTTGCTGTGTAGAGTAATGTTGGTTGTAGGTTTTTCTCTTTAATCACTTTAAATATGTCCTGCCAGTCCCTTCTGGCTTGCAGAGTTTCTGCTGAAAGATCAGCTGTTAACCTTATGGGGATTCCCTTGTATGTTACTTGTTGCTTTTCCCTTGCTGCTTTCAATATTTTTTCTCTGTATTTAATTTTTGATAGTTTGATTAATATGTGTCTTGGTGAGTTTCTCCTTGGATTTATCCTGTATGGGACACTCTGTGCTTCCTGGACTTGATTGACTATATCCTTTCCCGTATTAGGGAAGTTTTCAACTACAACTTCCTCAAATATTTTCTCAGTCCCTTTTTTTTTCCTCTTCTTCTTCTGGGACCCCTATAATTCAAATGTTGGTGCGTTTAATGTTGTCCCAGAGGTCTCTGAGACTGCCCTCAATTCTTTTCATTCTTTTTTCTTTATTCTGCCCTGTGGTAGTTATTTCCACTATTTTATCTTCCAGGTCACTTATCCGTTCTTCTGCCTCAGTTATTCTGCTATTGATTCCTTCTAGAGAATTTTATATCTCATTTACTGTGTTGTTCATCATTGTTTGTTTGCTCTTTACCTCTTCTAGGCCCTTGTTAAACGTTTCTTGTATTTTCTCCATTCTATTTCCAAGATTTTGGATCATCTTTACTTATTACTCTGAATTCTTTTTCAGGTAGACTGCCTATTTCCTCTTCACTTGTTTGGCCTGGTGCGTTTTTACCTTGCTCCTTCATCTGCTGTGTATTTCTCTGTCTTCTCATTTTGCTTAACTTACTGTGTTTGGGGTCTCCTTTTTGCAGGCTGCAGGTTCGTAGTTCCCGTTGTTTTTGGTGTCTGCCCCCAGTGGCTCAGGTTGGTTCAGTGGGTTGTGTAGGGTTCCTGGTGGAGGGGACTGGTGCCTATTTTCTGGTGGATGAGGCTGGATCTTGTCTTTCTGGTGGGC